TCTCAAGAAACCATTTCACTGCATGCAAATTGCCACAGAATGCCGCCACCATTAGTGGCGTGTAACCCTCGCCTGTTTTTGGCTCAATGTTGGGCAGGTGAGTATGGATTAGAGATATAATATCAGTGTCTCCGCTCTGTGCGGCATGATGTAACGTGTTCCATCCTCTGTTGTCCATCAGGGACGGGTCTGCTCCCCTTTTCATTAAACTCTTCACCGCTTTAACGTTGCCATTCAAAGTAGCATCCATTAGCGGCGTTCTGCCTGTTGCGTCCCTGGAGTCAACAGAAAATCCACGAGGAAGCGTCGATTTCATCTCAGTGACATCACTGTCTCTTCCAGCAGAGTGTAATTGATTCAATTCCTTGTTGTCCTCGCTCACAGAAGTGCCGCCTAAAATCATATAATGTGAAAGGAAATTAAGATTGGCATCAAACTCCAAGGAGGATGTAGAGACACATTTATTTTGGAACTAGCGCCGTTAGGAGGAAAATAAGGTAACAAGAAAATTTGTAACAATAACAATTAAAGTAATACTAAATAGGATAATTATAATGACTGATAGGTATAATTGCTCTGGTGACTATAGAGATGCATGCACTTTCGTTGGTCTATGATTGCGTCGTATCTCGCTAAAATCACCTCGCGCGAGGAGATTATATCATTTAAAACTTCTACTGGAAAATGGTTGATACGAGTAATGTAAACAATTGTAACACATTGTTATAAACAAAAGTCTCAACAGCTCGTTAACAAAATGCCTAAAGCAAAGTCTCGATGTGATTGAATTTCAGTTGTACGTAAGCGTTACAGACAGGATATGAAAATTATGTTCTATGACTTTTAAATCACTAATTTTCAGCATTTGCCGACCAGCTATGTTCTTGGTGGTAAAGTTTATTGACAGTTATAAAAAAATCATATCGTGGCAGGCTTTGTTGTGCTTTACAACTCACTCAATTTTCTGTCTAAAAAACAAATTTGTGCCCCTTCTTGCTAGAAGAGGCTCTAAATTACGATGTTGTTAGAAATTACATGTTGGTTAACATTGGGTATTAAAGGAATGAAACCAAACCAATGGAATACAACTGTTACACATATGAGTACAAAGTCTGATAGCAGTACTGCCAGTTCCTTCTTTTCCGTAATTTCCTGCTCTGTATTAATCTACATTCATCCCCCCCTCCCCCACCCATCCCTTCACATTTCCCAATTCCAAAATAGGCTCAGGCAAGGCTCAAATTTTAAACACATTTACTATATTAGTGCTAACTTTAACTATAAGGAAGAGAATCTTTTGCCTCCTTTTAGCTTCATTGAAAAAGTCATTAGTGCGGTCGAAGCTTGTTCGATATTTATTGTGTCGGTTGTGTCATGTTTTGGCCGTTGGCCATCACTTTGGTATTCAGTCAAGTTGGTCTGTTTGCTATCACAATTGGTAATCAAATATAGTCCCAACTGCTCGTTAACAACACAGCTATAGCGAAGCCTCTACTAAGTTTGTTTTCAATTGCTCTAAGTGTTACAGACAGGATATGAAAGTTATGCTACAGAAAAGAGTTTCTTCAAAGCCCTGGAATTTTGGAAAACGTTCATAGTTCAATCACGTTCTATGACATCTGAATCACTACGTATAATTATTCACCGACCAGCCTTATTCTTTGTATTACAGTTTATTGACGGTTATAATTAACCCTTTACACCCTAACATCAGTATGCACATTCTCCATACTTTCTCCACACATTTCTTAACATTCTGAAAAAAAGAATTTGTTTAACAATCAAGAGCTTCTTAGTTGTTGATCATTTCCCTTATTCTCATGACCTTAATGTTTGAATCAGGGGTGATCTTGTTAGGAGAAAATAGATGCCAGTCACTCTTAGGTGTTAAAGGGTTAAATGACATGCGTTGTAAAGTTTTCCCACCTTGAACAGACTTTGTTTGTTCATTCCCATCAGATGTTTTACTCCTTACAGAGATGTTTGGAGCTTTTTCTGTGGAGAAAGGAGAAATATCACATTATGGAATGCTGCCTAGTTTGGAAACCTGCAAACAGACTTCCATTTAGAAGACAAGAAAAAAGTAGAAATGATGAATGTCCTAACGTCTGTTGTGCTCACTCACTTCCACATTGTTTCAATGTTACTTTCCTTAAAATCAGTCTTGCCCCCTCTTTGCAAGAGGAGGCTTTAAATAACGTTATGAGAAATTACATGTGGATCAATTTTGAGTATAAAAGGGATTAAACCAAAGCAACAAAATAGGAATGCTACATAAAATAAGAGGAAAAAGTCTAATATCCCTGAGGAGTCCCAGTCCCTCCCCTATAGTCCTTCCTTATTGTTTTATCCAAGATGTTCTCCCCAACCCCCCTTCCCCCTTCATATTTCATATTGGTTGCGATACATAAATTGCTGATGGCACGTGGTATATACCTTCTACAGCTGTACCTGTTGTTGTCCAAGCTTCTTTTGTATTTCTCTGTGCTTGTTCTACTGAATCATATGGAGCTGCACCTGAAACAATGAATCAACCTTTAAAGAGACTTATTTTAATACTCCAATCTAAACCAAGCAGTTACATGTTCATAAGCCACACAAAACTCACAACTCCGAATGCGCATATTATTATTGGATCTTTAGCAGCACACTCAATCAGATAAGTTCATGTGCATGTGCATATGTTTGCCTCTTATAGATATGACTCAGTGATTTATGTCTGCGTACATCCAACAGCATTTTGTCACGGTACCGGAATATGAATATTACAAAATACAAATTATGAAGTCATTAAATGAACCAAACACAGGTAAGACTCAAATGAGTAGAGGTGAGAGAATATTTTGCCTCCTTTCAGCTTCATTGAAAAATTCAGAAGTGTGAGAAGTGTTGTGGAAGAAAGAGTTAGGCAAGCACAAACATAATTATTGATATTGTTTGATCCAAGTGCTAAATGACCCATAAGCCAACATGAATACTGCAAGTAAATCAAGCTCTTCTTTGATCACCAATTATACAATTTTTTGGTAAGAACTACAACTTCTTTTCCTTCTTCATTGCTTCAAGGCTTTATCTACACTCTCAATCTCTCTATGGTATTGAGAGGTTGTCAGTAATTTTCGAGAATCCGGCGACAGAAGCAAAAATTCAACTTTTTTTTTTATCTGCCCAAAAAGACCCTTTTGGTGAATCTTTTTCAAAAATAATATTCAAAAGTTCCAGCAAGTTTTTATTTTGGAAAAAAATACGAAAGTTCGAAATCGGCCAAAACGTACCTAATATGCATAATTTCTATTAGGCTTTCAGTGCATTTTCACAACGCTCGCACAAGACAACGAAAAAATTATCTTGGATTCACTTTCTCATAAACTGTTTTTCATCCCTCGGAGTAGCTTTGCAACTATATTTCATCTCTAACTGAGCTTTCTTTCGTTTGTAACCACCCGCGTAAAGTACACTATATTTTCTATTCCGTTTGTACGCTGAATTTTGCTATATTTCAGACGACCATAACATCGAGGGTATACAAATGTACATAAAATAAAAGAGCTCTTTTCAACGAGAAATTCTTCATGTTTATCATGTAAAAGTATTATTTTTGGCCCATGAAAAGCGAGCGCGCCAGACCAAAATATATAGCGTGCATTTTCACGGAGTTAAGCCATTTTTCTTGCTGTACTCTTACTGCAAATCGCACGCTATTGGGACACAACTCGACGTGTTTGGTCTCTACTTCAGTTTTGATTCATTTAAATATATCAATTTTAATTTAAAAATTAACCTACCTTTATTGTTAAGTGAACAAACCACCGTTTTAGGTAAAGTTTTGAGTTGACTTTTCTCGAGTGCTAAATAAACAAATCGCTATTTACAAAGATACCAGCTCTGACGACGTGTTTTTAGCTGAAATTGGCCCGTCGGATATATTGTTCTTTAATTTACAATCTATCCCACTGGCATAACTTTAGAGTAAATTACATGTAACTATAAATGTTGTTGTAAATACGTGAGCGTGAGCTAAATAAAATCTTCGCACACTTAAAATATTCGAAACATGTAGTTGTCGCATGAAAATACTCGTTTAATTATGCATTAACCTCGGTGTTTTGCTCGGTTGCTTTGTAGATTTCTACCACTGTCACTGTAATTAAAACAGTATGTTTGTGTAGTCCACCTGTTTAGATACATTTTCAAATCAACTGTAGGTTGGAATTCTGTTGGTAAAAATTGTCGAAGAAATCCGAGAAAAATGGCATGTAGCACAGGGCAGTCGTGCTTCATTCCATCTTACCGGTTCAACGAAACTTTGCCAGGTTAAAGGATCTACCCCAAAACTGAAAAAAGACAAACTGGTTTCTGTTTTGGCTTTTTCCGGGGGGGGGATATAGACCACCCCCTCCCCCGGTTTTTCTTGATCCTTAGTTAATGTCCACCTCAAGTATCAGTCAATTTAATTGACGGCTTGTCAATCAACAGAGGCAAATAAACGACTGAGTTTTTAGACTTTTCGATTCATCCAAATATTTGACAACTTTTAAAAGTGAGATGCAAAGATCTTTATTTTTTTTTAGCTTAATAGCAGCTGTACCCTCTCCTGCAGTCTTCGTCTA